ATTATAATTTTGCCTACATGCATATACTTAGAATCATTGATATTTTTACGCACAAGATTTATGTTTTGCATCATGAAGAAATAATTTGATTCAAAATTTGAATAGGTCAAAAAAAAAAAATTAGCGGACTTTAAATGCTAAATCCAAATAACCGCCAAATCCAAATAACCACTAAATTATACATCATTAAACCAATTTTAAGATAGTTTGGGGATGATTGAGCTATTGTAGGGAGACATTGAGATATATGTGGATTCCATGTGTGCTAAATTTTGTGTGGATTGTCTAAAACTAATAAGATGAAAATTAGGTTGAGATCTTAAATTAGGAGTCGATTTTTGAAAATGAGTGTTTATAAAGGGGCATTGCACGGATCATGAAAAAGTACAGAAAAAATTATGAATATGTGGTGTTATTATATTGTGAAACTTCTCTTTTTAGTCTTTATGATTAGAGTGATTAAGTCTGCAATGGTATCTAAAAACCTGGTGCCATATGGTCATTTGACTTGGGAGTCATCGGCTTAAAACTCGCTACAAAAGTCATTTAGAAATGTTAATGGAGAGGAGTCTATACAATAGGTTAAAAAATCCTATCTTGATTAAGCCCCGAATACTCATCTGAGAGTATTAGACTTTTGACAAGATATTATTAACTTAACTGATTTTTATAGATTGAAGCAATAAAAAATAAGAAGAATCTATAATTGTTGATGTGTTGAACTGCAATTAGTAAAATCGAACCAAACTAGAGAGGGTAAGGATCAGTATCATATTAAAAATGCAACCTTATATCACACCTTGGGGAATGAGCGAAAAGAATGAAGTTTGGGGGTGTGTATCTTACAAGTGAAGAAAGGAAACATTTGGCCATAAAGGGTTGGAATTTGAATCACTTTATGAATTTATGATACTTGACATGAATTTTCACACATATATGTCGGTTTTGCATTGGATAAGTATAAATTAATTTCAGTATTGTGATTTTGTAGCAGTCCATAGTTTTAATACACATATTTCAATCCTGAAACAAAAGACAAATTATCTGACCATGTATGTTTTAAATTTTTGGTTATGTTAGATAATAGTTTTGTTTGAAGATAAAAAAAAAATTCAAATTTGGGAGTGTTTGATAAGTGTATTTTGTAAACTTATCTAGGTCATTAAATTAGAGATTTTGTTAGTGATTTGAATGTATTATAGTTTAATTATGTGTTAATTATGTGTTTTATACACATTAGTGGAATTGAAAGAAATGAACGAAAAACGTGTAAAAAAGAAAGAAATTCATTGTTTGAAGACCAAAGTGTAAACATTCAATAATTGAGCCAGACAATAAAATGGCGATTGAAGCTCACATATGATCAATTGGATGTAATTGGAGGTCAAACAAGTTAAATATAATTTAAGTATTTTTATAAACCAATTTCCAACCGAAAAAATTATACTCCGTATGTAATTGGAGGTCAAATGAGTGAAATATAGTTGAAATATTTTCACAAATCAATTTCCAACGGAAGAAGTTATGCTCCAGATTTTTAGTTTCAACTTGAGACCCATTTTTCGATTAGCAAACATTCGAATTGGAAAATTTGTGTTTAGAAGAATTGTATCCCTCTGAGTTTTCTTTCCAACACATTTTGAATCACCTCAATCGAATATCATGAGAGAAAGTTATGACTAATATATTGAAAACTGATTAGGGACAACACCGAGCAAATTGACGCGCGCGTGGGGGCAATTTTGGTGCGCGTGCAATACACTAATTTTCATGACCCCAGAGCCATTTGGATCAATGGCGCGCATGGTGGTTATGTCTATGCGTGCGGGGGGAGGGTGGCTTTTTCCGCAGATGAATTAGCAGTTTTCTTTTGTGAATCAAAGTCTTTTGGAACCCAAATTGGACGATATTTTCACCTATTTTATGGTGCCCATAAATAAAAAACAAAGGCTACACAATGAAAAAAAAATCCTCTAATGTCTCTTCATACACAATAATATCATCAAATTCATCAAAAATAATGGGCTAATTACTATATTTTGAGAGATGAGATCAAACCCTAGCAAAAAATTGAAAGTCAATTACATAAAGATTTTAAAGAATTCAATTTTGGACTTCAAGATCGAAATCTTTTGAATTATTTCATGATCCAGATAATATTTTTATGTTATTATTCTTGTAATTTATATATTAGCATGCTAGGCTAGATCTGTTTTTGTATTGGATGAAGATGAACTCTATTATTTATTTGTTTTAATTCAAGACAAGTACTTTAGTTTATTTCTTGTGTTTCTTGTTTAATTTTGCTTACCCATTACATTATTTAATTGATTGACCACTAATTAGATAATTAGTTATTTGTTGTAGTGTTAGAAGACTCACAATAAGTTTAAAACGTAACAAATTAGCATATATGCAGTAGATGTTAGAAATAACATGTATCATGTGTCCAATCATATAGATAATTTAAGATCAATGCATTCTATTCATTCGAATTCAAACTAGAATGGATTTGGGTCATGATTATGAATATTTAATTTATCTTGAAAAAGAAAATTATATATCATAACTTTATGGATTGTCAAGAATGTATGAACGGAACTAAATTACAAATCAAGAATTGAAATAGATCGTAATAGACAGATTCAAAATTTAATACAATCGTCCATAATTTGATAAAACCAAACTTTTATAGCTTTATCAGATTAATTTAGAATAAATCAAATCAAAAACTCTTTTGTGTTACATAATTCAAATTTCATATGAAACTAGTAAACTTGAATTGAATTTATTTCTTATGAGACGATAACTCTTAACTTATAAATTCTATTACTTGTCAACGATCCCGTATGCTTGCGAGTTTTGCACAAACACAAACCCTAGAGGAATTATTTAGTTCATGATATGAGACATGAAATCCATACAATTCATAAAACATAACACGAAGAGAAGAACGATAAAACTATTTTTTGATGGTTGAATCAATCTTCTTCGCCAAATTTTCTTTCAATTTCTAGAATCTTGCCTCCTTCAATTCTCCTCTAAAAGTGGTATTTAAGATTGTATTTATAGTATTTTAAAGTTTTGGAAGGGTTGGGGTCGGATTGAACCGAGAAGGGAGTAAAACAAAAAAAAAAATCATTATTTCCACACGGTCAGTGTGATCGGAGATGCGTGCGCTAGAATTTTGGTCTTCCTCTGCTCTTCTGGCATTGTGGCGCTAGAACTCTGCCATTTTTTCTCTCGAGCCATGGCTTTGGCTCTGCGAGATCACTTTTCCACCTTTTTCTTCTCATTTTCTTCCCTTCTTTTGCACATTTTTTTACCACTTCAATCAACCTATATCACAATATCAAAACACACATAAATACGTTTTAAACACTCTCAAGAACAACTAAATAACAAGCTAAAGTGGTATTAAAATAATGAATGAAATGTACTCATCAGCAAACCACCCATACCAGATCAAATAAAAAAACAACAAACTCAAATCTATATTTATTAAATGTGTAAACACTCGATCTATATCCAGTATTGGATGCGGCAACTACGAGGCGCAGTTGCGTACAACGAAGCTGATTCGACACACATGACGGTCAAGGTTGGCGATCGAGTGGCATCGTTGCAAGAGGAGCGATGCCGAGAGAGAGAGGAATTAGGATTTGAGAGTTTAATTAAATTGGGGTGGATGTGGTAGGGTGGGTAAATTAATTTAATGTTATAATATTATTATTAATATTTAAAAATGAATTATCACTTGATTTTTGAACAAAAACTTTTTAAACTTTATTTTTGAATTGGGAACTTAAAATCACGAGGGTGTAATTTTCACTTGTAATTATGCTCTTTTTTCTCAATAAAATAATTTTGCACGTAAATTCAAAAAACTTTCTTACTTTTAACCATGCATTTTTTTTTTTTAAAAAAGATTCTCTTTTTCTAAAATATATTTTCAAAAAAATTGGTCTCAAACGGGGTTAAATTCGTAGCTGATTTCAAGCTCCGGCAATGGAAGAAGGTTGCCATAACTTGACATGAAGTGTAAAAATTGATCAAATGCGATTATTATACATAATTAATTTGATTTGAGGTTACAGGAGTCATGAAAGGAAAAGCTTTTGAGTATCAACGAGCATTCAATTAATTTTTACAATCTTGCTACATGTGCATTAATTTTAACATCATGAATGACATTCTTGTGAGTTAACTACACTTTAAACAATTAATTACACAAATTTTGACAATTCAAACGTCAACAACAATGTCATTTAAGAATATACATCTAAGAACTTGTTTGACTCCCATTATAATGAGATTTTTGAAAATAATGTATCTTGAAATAGTAATTTTTGGAAGAATATGAAGTTAAAAATAAGGAATTTATTTTTTATTTACACATAATATTATTTTATTGAAAAATGTGATTGAAAAGAAAAGAGAAGAGAAGAGATAAATATATTAAAATTTTAATGAGGGACCAACAAGGACTAAATTAATTCAAATTTTTATTATCCGCGCCTGCCAATCAACTTTACTTTTGTCTGAAATCTCGGCCCACGTGTACTTTTTTGCATTGGTCGAAAACAATTTAAATAATCATATTGGTTTTCAAAAATAAAATTATGAAGCTGGCTACTTTAACTAGTAACATTGGCAGAACAACAGGGCAGATTCGATATGTAAAAATCGAAGAAGCATGAACTGGGCGATTCGACATCATGATATACTACTAGAATGCATGTTTCAAGACCAAGCCCCAGACTGATAATAGACAAGTATATTTAAGCACCAATGTGTAAAATCAAGCAATGCTGTGAACATCAGATAGCACCAACCCACACTAGAACAATGGTGAAGTTCATTGGTTTAGGCCAAAATAAGTGACATGTAACAGTAGTCCATCAAATTCATTATACCAACGCAACAAATAGATAATAAATTCCTCCATGTACCATTGCTCTACCCGAGCTATGTTAAAGCTTGCACTTTTGTGCGTCTTCTCATGATGTCCCCTCCAGGCCAAGTTTTGAAGTTAGCCATGCACAAAGTTCATTCATTTCTTCGGGTATAGTATAGTGACCAAGCCTGTTGGTGGAGTGCTTAGTCAATTGCTGTTAAACTTTAATGACGAAAAGCTTTAATAACAGCAAGAAAAAGTACATACGAAGAATAGGATTTAAATGTCGTGTCTTGAAATCCACACGAAGACAACTTGTTGGCAGATTTCTCACCAAATTTATGAGCAACTACATCATCCCCTGCATCAGATTGTACAGGTATCATCACCACATACTCTATCAACTACCAAAGATAAAAGCACCAAAACTATGGCAACAAGCGTTCACAAAATAAACTACATGAAATGAATCTAAAACAATGAAAAAATGTAAAAATAGATAGATTACTCCCTAAAATCTTCTCAACCAGAAGAAATACCAGTACCAGTTCCTCCATCTGCTAAAGCTAATATCCTTTATGATTTATACCTTTTCCATGACAAAGCAGAATAGGCAAGGATGCAGTACGGCTGGCAGCCTCATTTACCCCTTCGATTTTACTAATTAGCTCCCTGGAGAAATATAGCAGTAACAATAATATATCAAAATGAACAGAGCACAATTAAGATATAATGTCTGATAATAATATTGTCAGGAATCTGACTTTGCGCATGGAAGCCAGCCACTTAATCCAACAACAGCACTCAATTTGGCAGGGTATGGGCTGCCATTCTCATACTTTCCTAGAGCAAAGCAAGTTGCCGAGTAGAGGGAGATTGCTGCACCCATACTGAAGCCTCCAACGCCAAGTTTGACTGACAAATGTCAACGGATTTAAAAGTAAGTAACTGCTTAGAAGTTTGCCCCAGCTAAAAACTCCGAAAGATGGGAAGCCCACTAGAAAAAGAAAGAAAAAGAAAAGTTGAAATGAAATTTACTCGAGGACGGATGTTATTTGTTGTCCCATTTCATTGCCAACATATATCTGGATCTCAAACTTGTTCATACAAGTTATATAGAGTGCACATCCCAATGTCTTAAATTGTTTCCTAGAAGGAATAATAGAAAGTTCATGCTTCCTTATATGCTAGAGAATGAAAACATGAAAGCACTAATACACCCTACAAGGTGCCATCAAAGGCAGTTCCAGTATTAGTATAAAGAATACAATAGCACTACCAAGGGATCACATAGAAACACATACACAGTGCAGACGTATGTATGTGCACTCCAATAGAGCCTAACAGAGTAATCAGTGTGGAGGACGCTCTTGTCCAGTGTTGTAGCACTTTCAGATGCAAATAGAACTCTCTATTTGAAAACTGAAGGAGCGCATAAAGCAGATGTGACTCTCCAAGAATTATACCATGTACTGTGTAGCAAAATAAATGAAAACTCGTTGGATTTCTCCTATCATGATTCATGACACTTATCCTTGAAGATGAGATACAGTATGATACTCATGTTAAAGGAGAATAATATTAAAATTCTGCAGTCAGAATAACACCGACTCTGTGTGGTTCACGATGCATCCTTAAGCAGTCAGGATGTAATCCAGTACCTATTCTGATCTCATAATTGTCATTTTGGCAGTGACAAGGTTCTAGCATTTTAGATACTGAAACACATATATGCAGAGATATTACAAATACAAAGCTGCAAAAAGGAACTCACTGTTTGGGGGTTCATTGGCCAATAAGCTCGCAACATATGCTGCTGCAGCATCCAAACCCTCTATATCATCAATAGCATTTTCAGAAAGTTCATTCACATCAAACCCTAATACATAGCAAAAGAAATAAAGTTGATAATTAATGGCTGGTGAAATTTTCCTATACAAATTTGGAAGGGGAAGGGGGAGAAGGTACATGGCCATGACAAGTTATAATACAGACAGTTTTTAGACAAGCTATATTCAAAAAGCTTAAATTATAAGCTAGTAATGATTGTTTTTCCCTTCTATTGACTAACATATACCTCTGATGCTCAGACTCTTCGAAATGGACGAAGTACCCGTGTCAGACACGACACGATATCGGCATGGGTATGGAATATGTGTCGGATCCTCCAAATTTCAACCGGACACTTCGCCATTTTTGCTTCTTTCTTTTTAATCTTTCTTTTTTTTTTCCTTCCCCTTTTCTTCTTTGGCGACGGCATAAGATTTTCCCTTCTTTTTCTTCTATCTTTTATCTTTGACTTTCCTTCTTTTTTTCCTTCTTTCCTCTTTGTATCGATGGTTTAGGGTTTTCTTTGTATGAAATGAAAATGAGTTCCATATAGTGCAACTTAGTATTCCATTAAGTTTAAATTATAATCCAATCTCTTATTTTCTATTTTATATAACATTTAGTAATTGACTTTCCATAATTGAAAACTAAACCCCAAAATTTCATTTTATTCGTTTTAACCCCTTATTCAATACTCATTTCCTTCTTTGTGAAGTATTGATTTTGGTCTATTTAAAATGACATATGGGGTTAATAAAAAAAATTAAAATTTGAAAGACGTACCTATGTATCTGTGTCCAAAATTTGGACTCTTTTTAGCCATATCCCCGTATCCTATATTTTAGAAAATAATGGATCCGACACTTAGATACATACCCGTACCCGATACCCGAGTTCGAGCAACATAGACATACAATAAAAATAACTTACTCAAAAAATTAAAAGCCAGCTAGCCTGTTTGTGAACCAGCAACCTGCCACCTCAGCCTTGAGCTCAGCAACACTCTAGATGAGCCAAGCTCAAATAGTATATCGTGTTTGTTTAGCAATTATGCTACAATGTAATTTTTTTTTTAAGTAATAAAACAAAAGGATCACCCCCAAAATCTTGAGGTTCTGCTTGGGTTCAAACTAGGCTCAAATCAAGCTGAAGCTTGAACACAACTCATATTTTTTTTATGATCAAGCTAAAGATTGAACTTCACCCTGGACACTATTGAGTTTGATCTTAACATAATAGATTAAAGTTTGGGCTCAAAAATTCTCCAAGCATTCAGCTTCTCTTGGCCTGTTTTCACCCTTTACCATAGTATCTCTTCTACAAGCATCACAAACACGATATAATTTCTTTAACTTACAAGCAGTTGAAGGAAAGCCTCCAAATAAAGTTATTGGTTGTTGCGGAGCAGTTGGGCAGATCCATTTGATCTGCAGGTATATTGAACTAAACCAGATCAGAAAATCAGTGATCCGTATATGAAAAAAATATTCGTGAACAGATTCTGGAGCAGTAACTCTCATAGGTTGATGCTCAATTAAAACACAATTTTAGACTTACATTTGGGAGAGGAAGGGTCTCCAATAGACTGGACCAGCTGCCACAGAACATGAAAGCAAAAGGGTTGGAGTTGGTACTTGTAGTAAAGTTTGATCGCAAAATGCATTACAATCGCCATCCATATGGTACATGGAAGAAAAGTGCAAAATTTATAATAGTCATAACATCCATCTAGCAAAAGCATACATCTACCATACTCTCTGTCTCTCACAGTTAACGGCTCAATTAGCATTCTATGCTGTTCAAAAGTTTTGGTTCAATCTGACAAGACCGCACTTGGAATCAAAGAGGCACATAAAGGGTTGGATAACAAGTCTTTTTATGGGTCTAAGTTGGAAAAAAGTTACTTATTTTGACATTAATCCCACTTACCGTCAAATTAAGTAAAGTTCTTACTTTATAAGAAAAAATTGCCAATAAGCACGACCAAACGGGTAGAACCCAAAATTAGTTGTTAGTTCAATTGCCATTTATGTAGGGATATTATGGGGATTTAAAAGTTGAATAGGCTTCTCCCTATAAATAAGGGATGAAAGTTCCAGATTAGTAAGGCAGAAAATCAGGGAATCAATGGGGGAGAGAGTGAGCCTCTCGAATGCTCACAATCTAGTGTAATTCCTTTCAATTTCTATCATTTTTACATTCAATATATACACCAAAATACATTACCCTTCAAGTACCTATCAATTGGTATAAGAGCATCGATTCTAGGGTAATGGCAACAAATTAGAACAAAGAATTGGAGAAGAAGATGGAGATATTCATGAAGAATCATGAGAATTCTTAATGGAGATGCAAGAATTCAGCAAAGAGAATGATTCTGGATTGGTGGGTGTCTAAGGTGGAGTGGATTTTCTCCATGAATCGGTTGTCCAAGAGGGAAAGGTGCAAGCCGCCGTCACTTGCTTTGATGGAGAGGCATGGGCATGGGCTCAATAGATTTCTGGTTGTCATCTGATTCAAACTTGGGAAGAATTGAAGGTTTTGATGTTGGCTTGCACGAATGAAGTCTCCATAGGTGAAGAATTTCCAACGTGAAAGTGATGGGATTTGGTGAACTTGAAGACTAAGGTGAAAGAACAGAAATGCCAATTGCTTGCATCTCTATCACAATCCCGAGAGAAGACGTTGGAGCACGTAGTGAAAGGGATCTCCATTAATGGGCTGAATCAGGAAAAAATGAACGATGAGAAATTGTTGAAGCTAGTGGTTTGGGCAATGGTATACAGATGGCCTAACAAGTGGAGGACTACAAAATTTCACTTAAGCAAGCCTAACTCAGAATGCGCCTTAACAACTATTTGCACCCTAAAACCCATCAGATCTCTCCAATTTCAAGCCCCAATTACACCAATCTACTACAATCAGGTACTAACTTCAATTCAACTCCGTCAATTCCAAAATCAAGTTCCACTAATTTCAAACAATTTTCTGGTGTTAATTTCAAAAGAAGGAAAGTAATTCGAGGCTCCAATATGATGGGTACGACACCATTGGGTAGTGCTGCAGAAAAGGGAAAAAGAAAAAAAGTTATGAGAACGGGTGAAAGGAGAAATAGTCAGGGGTAATCGATGATATTGGGTATAGAGGTGTCGTGGCGGCAAAGGTGCCGGGATTTTTCCGCCGACAATGGTGGAGGTTGGTGATTCGTTGGGATTTTTAATTAATTTGGTTGTCAGATTAATGGTGCCAAAGACCATAAACGGGCGAATTGCTCAACAAGAGGAGGTTGTGATATTGATTGGTTGTTCAATTACTCACCATTGTATTCCGATTGGCCGTTCATTTTATAGAAAACCCACAAAGGGTGCGGCAGGTTATGGGGTAAATGAACACTATATTAATGGTAGTGGATCCGCTAAACAAGTCTGCCAACGTCTGCAGACCAAGAGACTCGAATTTCGCACCACACTGGCGTGTTTGCAAACGAAATTGTTAGGTTGTATGATATTTAAAAATCTGGAACTGGCCCAAATTTTCACCTTGAGGACAAGGTGAATTTCAAGGGATAGAACCCCTAATTAGAAGTTAGTTCAATTGTCATTTATGTAGGGGGTATTATGGGAAATTTAAAAGTTGTATGGGTTTCTCCCTATAATTAAGGGAGGGTAGTTCCAAAGTAGTTAGGTAAAAAATCAGGGAATCAATGGGGAGATAGTGAGCCTCTCAAATGCTCACAATTTAGTGTAATTCCTTTCAATTTCTATCTGTTTTTCATTCAAAATATACACCAAAAATACATTACACTTCAGGTACCTATCAATTACTTAAGCTTGGCTAAACTTAAAGTTAAGTAACAAAATTACTTAACTTTAAGCTTAGGCAAACATGATGTATGATCAACTTTCATCTTAGGTGCTTTTACTTAATCGCACGTGCCTAATAATATGATTGATTTGGTTATGAGCAGAGTTCTCCAAACTTTCTTCTTATAACTAGAATGCATTAAATGCTTTTTCGCCAAGAGGTCATCTCAATGAAAAATGAATTTAGCTTTCAATTTTCTAAATGTTTGTATGCTTGGAAGAATTTTTGAGGCATACTAGTGGAGAAAGTTTTTGAATTCAAGGAGAATCCACAAAAGAAAGGCAAAATTAGTTTTGTCCAACCGAAATAATATGCTTCCTTTTGGTGGGAGAATCCAAAGAGACAAAGTACTTGCAGTGGGAAAGGCAAGATCAGAACTTGAGAAAAAAATGAAGAGGTAACTCAAGAAGGCTTTCCAACTAAAAAATTATAAACAAGACACTCACTTTGAAGAATGGACAATTTAGTTTGAACGCTTGATGTTTAAGTATGACATTGCAGAACCATGAGTGCAAGCAATACTTTATTAATTATTATCCTGATGGCTGAAGGATGAATAAGAATTGTTATTAGTTTTCAGCCCTACTGGACATTCAATTATGTGAGTAAGCTTGCACAGGTAGAGAAATAGCAAAAAGAGGCAAGAATTTCAGTCAGGATATTTCTCTGACCTGGGAAAATAGCTCTCCATTTAAATCAGTATCAATCTCTTCAAGTGTGAAAGAAACTGGAAACGTCATAGGTGGCTATAAACACACATCTAGTCCGAGAAAGGAGAATTCTTCGAAGAAGGATTCATGAATTTTCTTCAAATTCCGAAAATACAGGCATATTGCATCTAAGTGTCCTATTTGCATCGTCACTTTGTTGGAGGAGTTAATAGAGGGGAAATAAGATGAACCGGATGTCCAGAAGATAGAAACGGCACAAATTGATGAAGGAGAAACCTCAGTATTGCTCCGGAGGATGAAGATGACCAGACGCAGATGAATATTTTTTGTACCAGGTGAATTCTCATGGAAAGTTCACGTAGCCTGGGAAAGAGAAATAGATGGAGGGATAATTGGGGAATTGGGAGAAAAAGGAAGAGAAAATTTCAATGTCACTGATATACCAAATCGATTGTTTATATTATTCAGAAATACTAGTCCAAATTATTATTTCTAATAAAATGGAAAGTCGCCAAAATAACAAACCAGAAAATTTTCAAACCAAAATAGATTATATTGTTGAAGACAAAATTTAGGGAGCTGCAGCCTTATGGTGGCATCTATTGGATGAGACAGAGCTGTTGCTGGCCAAGCAAGGTTCACACTTGGCCAAGTTAAGTTAGTTTGAGTAGTAGTAATCACTCCGCCAAGGAAACATAACTACATACGAATATATTGAGCCTTGAAAAAAAATATTCCTGGGTTCAAAATTACCTGAAAGCTAAATATGCATACAACATTATGACTTTTATGCTACTGTCCACATACCTATAGAAATGGCACATTACATTGACGCATAACTGTACATTAGATAGCGAGTGGATAAGACCTAACCATTTAATACAATAATGATTGTTCAGCTATAAATTTTAGCTTTTTCATGGTGGGGAGAACAGGAAACTACTGTTCTGATTTTCGAACAAAGCAGATTTTTGGGATGTCAAAAGGAGCGAAGTAATAGGATAGGATAGCAGAATGAGTACATTTAACATTTTCCCAAGTGTTAATACCACTGCGAAATGTGCATTTACGCTAGCTACAAATGCAGGTAAAATTTTTCCTGTGATCAGCTTTCAATTTTAGGTTTCAAAAGAGAAGCCAGCATCATATGCTTGAACTTGAAGCCTCAACGGTATGATTTTTCTCCCTACCATTGGGCTAAAGAGATGCATACTAATTACAAAAAAAAAAAGAAAAAGAAAGAAAGAAAGAAGCAAGAATGGAACATTAAAGAAAGAGATAGAACGTAAGAACCGCTAAATTTTAGCCTAATGTTCGCTCCGTTACTAAGCTCCTGTTTGATCCCATTTCTAAAAACTCTTTTTTTTCAAACTCATTTTCAACCACACATTTCATGAGATCTACAACTTTTATCAACTTTTCATCTACGCATTTCACAAACTTTTACCAAAATATACTAAAAATCTAACCACTATTTGGGCTCCATTTTTTCAAAACTCATTTTCAACCACATATTCTTCCATATAATAATGTTACACGTAAACCCAATTTTTTTTTTTTTTTAACTACACATTCTCCAAAAAAATACTATTCCAAAACACATTTTCTCCCAAAATCGAATTTTAATGGAGCCCAAAAATGGGCCGCCTAATTTTAATCCAAACCAAACAAGGGCTAAGAATCATGTCCTTCTTATCAACCTGAAAGCTTGATATGAGGCATCCACCACATCTTTCCCCCAATCAGTGAATATACAAAAAACAACAAAAGGTGATAGCAAAGTATTATCTCACTTGTTAAAGTTTATTTTCCTGTCATACATATAGAATTGATGTTTAGTGGACTAAATTTAACAAATAGATGACACTTAT